TTCCGACCTGGTTGATTCTATGAATGATACTCAGTGAGTTACACCGAGTTTAGTTGTTCTTCAGCCCCAGCTTTGTCCCCGTGGGATGAGTCTGGAGTGCAGCAAACTGCCAGCTCCTGCCACGGCCCCACCGTGTGTTTGTGTCTCTGAGGCCTTTGCTCTCAGCTTTGCCTTCTTCTCTCTGCAGTGTCCCTGAAAGACACTTCCACCCTCCTCCCCATCTCCTCCTGGTGACTCCATGCCTCACACCTCAGGTCTTCCTTCCCTCAGGATGAGCTCTCAGCTTTGTGCTTTCCTGCACACTGAGCGGGTGCCAAGGGTTAACACTGCCTTCTCCTCCCTCTCTCTGTGTTCAGTGCTGCTCTGGATGTGGAGCTCTCAGATGATTCCTTCCCCCCAGAGGACTTTGGCATCGTCTCTGGGATGCTCAACGTCAAGTGGGACAGGATTGCTCCGTATCCTTCCATGCTTCGGGATCTCTCCCGACACCTTCTCCCCGCTGAGCACCTGCAGCTTCCTCCTGTCTCCAGCTGCTGTCACTGGAATGGCTGCCAGAGCCTGGCAGGGCCCAGAGCCAACCTGTGCTGCCCTGGCAGGTGCTGGGAAGATGCAGTTCCTTGCAGGCAGGAGCAGGCCCTGAGCAGTGCCTGTGGCTGGGCAGGAGCTGTGGGTCAGCCCTGGGTGGGTCAGGCTGGCTGTGAGCCGAGCCCTGGGCTCTGGCAGCAGCTCTGACCTCTGCCCTGGTCCCAGGCTGCTCTTCCCCCTCCCTCCCTTCTCTCCTGTGCTGGAACACGACCGTTTCCTTAGCGAGTGGCTCAGAGCAAGTAACGTGTCCCACACGGTGGTGCTGAGGCCCCTCAAGGCAGGTTACTTCAACTTCACCTCTGCCACCATCACCTACCTGGCCCAGGAGGGGGGACAGGTCGTGGTGAGTGTCCATCTGGGCCCTGGGGCACAGCTGCTGTGCTCTGGAGCTGAGTGCTGGGGCTGAGGTGTCCCTGGCCCTGCCCTGCCCAGCTCTGAGCAGGAGCAGAGGTGGCTCAGGCTGTGCTTTCCCTCCTGGCCCAGGTGGGATTCACCAGTGCTCCCGGGCAGGGAGGGATCCTGGCCCAGCGAGACTTCGACAGGAGGTTTTCCCCTCACTTTGTGAGTACTCCAGGGGTGAGGGAATGCCACTAGAGTGGGAGGTCAACCCTGTGCCTGAAAGCCTTGGCCAAACACTCCTGGAGCTC